AAGATGACTGTCAAGTCCAGCTTGGCAACATTCCAAACATCCGAGCAAGTGGAAACCCTTACAAAAGCTATGATACTGCCGGAGTCGTTTATGGAAGTCGTAACAGTCAGGAGAATTGTGCCCTTGGCAAAATTATCTCTTGACTTGAAGATTGAGTCATCTGTAGTGGGTGTAGATCTGGAAGGTAAACCCACTCCCCTGCTCGCAAGCGAAGTAACCCTAGCTGAAAAAGTGCTCAGAAAGGAAACGTGGAGATTGAGGGAGAGCGGTGACGAGAAATTCAATGCCGTTATAAATCTGCACAAATTTGAATTACAGAAACCCACACAGAAAAGAGAAATTTGCTTGCCAGAGAAGATCTGCATTTCAGCCGCTCCTGTCTATATCAAAGCAGATGCTGTGGAGTCGGATGTAGTGTGGACGGACCATCACCTGCTCAAGACCCCTGATCAGTACACGGTTGGCAAGAAGGTCATTGCTGCCAACGCTGCGCCAGAAGTAAGGATGAAGGCGGAGGAAAGTGGAGATGAAAAGGTTCGACTGGCTGTGGAGCTGCTTGGAACGAAAGGAGGTGTTGAGATCAGTGCTGTCGATTGGCCTCTGCCTAACAAGGGTGAAGGTGTTGAATTTGAGACGGAGGAGTTCGGTGATGAACATGCTGTGCTGTATGGACAGATCAACAACAAGCAGGCCGCCTATGGTGATGCCGACCTTAGCAAATCTATTCCTAGAAGCCACACGCTTTCCCTGAAGACCCTCGAAAGCAAAGAAGAGAATCTGAACATCTCAAGCGAGTTTGGCGTTCGTCCAGAAACGGAAGTACTCGACAAGCTGATTCACATTGCCGTCAAAGGAGACAATACCACCCTGAGATGCCTAGAAAGCGGAGATGAGACCATAGCCCTCGGACTTGCATACGACACCTCACATCAATCCGAACAGACTTTGAACAAGTGGACAGACAAGCGTTATGGTGGCGATTACTACCTATACACCAAAGCACCAGTATTCGAAGACCGTATGGCAACAATGCTGCTGTCCCAGAAAGTACAACTCGAAAACATTCACCACAAGCAGATCCAGAGGGTAAAGTCAGAAATCAACCTGAGAGTGACTGCATCGACCACGGAGAACACCACAGCCAACCTTCACTACGACAGATCGCTGCAGAAGGAGAAGGCGGTTACGATGAGATCTTGTCCGAACGTGGGAGAACCCTACAAGTGCAGATTTGTGGAGAGTCAAGAAGACTTTGCAAACACTTACTACGACTTCACTCTTCCAGCTGCTGCTGGCACGATTTCCCTAATCCAGAAGGTCCCGCTCATAACAGAAGGAGCTAAATTGAGCTGTGAAGCTGCAGAAGATGTACAAATTGAGTCCAACCCGGCCCTTGGCAAAGAAGCTCAGTTCGCGGTTGCCTCTACCCTTGTCAAGGATACCAACACGATCCAGCCAGCTGTCTTGAAAGCCAAGGAGAGCACAATGGAAAGCATGAACTTCGCCACAAGTTTCAGCAAATCCGACGAAAAGCTACAGGATTCGCTCATTCGCAAAGAGGTTCATCGCGGATCCGACATCACTGTCACTATGAAAGAAAGCCGCGAGGAGAAGCACACCTTGTATCAGAAGTACGAGCAGGAGGCGATGAAGGAAGCTGTGGAGGTGACAAGGTCCGTGGCCTGGTTTGGAGGACGGTTCCTGCTCAATACCGACGCTTCGGAAGAACACGAGATCAGTGCAACGAGGGAGATGGAGAAGAAGCGAGAAGCAGTGGTTCATTGCGAGCAGAAGACTGTACTTGCCCACAGGGCCGAGCCCCAACAGCTGACCACCAAAGCTGCTGGAAGCGAAAATGTCAACGTCGAACATGATGGAAAGCACGAGAGCGCTAGCTACACGATAGCAAAGAAGCTCACCGCTTCAAACACAGAAAGTGCTATGATGAGAGTGGAAGAGAGCGCGGAAAGCATAGAACACATCTATCCAATCTTTACTAGACCAAACGATAAGTTCGATTTAGATCGGACCATGCAGATCGCACGCGACGGAGGAGTACAGACGCTCAACACGAAGGCCGCCGAGGACAATGCGGAGACGTTCACTGCCGATCTGGTCAAACCTATCGTCAAGGATTTGCACACACAATTCAGCACCACAATCGCTAACACCATTGCACCAGCACAATTGCACGCTTATTCGACTAAAACTACAGATTTGGTGGTCAGCCAGAATCTGATGCGTAGCGCTCAGCAGTTGTCGGAGAAGAGGACCTTCACAGCTGCTAACAAAGGACTTCCCGCAGCCTTTACGGCTACGGAAACTACAGAGAAGCATATAACTTCAGCCATCATTCTCAGAAGAGACGATAGCCATCACAGCGAATCTATCCTAGTCAAGGATAAGCGCTACGGAGGAGCTGCCGAGCTGTCCGCGAAGTACACCACCGAAGTCAGCTCAACAATGAGCGGCACCCTGCTTTGCCCCCGTCCTACCAACCTTTCTGCTCAAAAAATTATTGTCATTGGTAACGGCATTGGCCCAATCAAACTCACTACCTATGCTAGCTCAACCGAGCAACGTTTGGTGGACACTACCTGGAACCGAGAAAGTGCTCAATACACTATAGCGAAGAAGCTATCCGCACCGAACACCGACCACAGTTCAATCACGGTGAGAGAAGCTGG